GAGGAGGAGGGGGAGGCGGTGGGGATTTGGGATGGGGAGATGAGGGCGGGATGTGAGGGAGAGGAGGGAGGAGGCTAATGTCGAAACCTACGGCTAAAGCAGTCGTGGGGTCAGCACGCGAGTGGCAGGCCTACAGCGCGCGCCAAGAGAACTCCAACTTTTGATGCACGACTCTGTACAACCTCCTGAGTATGCCTGTGGATTCTTCGTAGTAGTTATGCGTCCCCTTTATCACGTGATCTGATCTTAGTGTTACCTTGGCTAACCATCTCAAATTACTAAGCACTCAGATTGAAGCTCAGACTACACGTGATCGATTAGGGGCGGGCCGCACTAAGCCCCTTGGGGCTTTCTTTCCGAGCCACTTACCAACCAACTTTATTCGGTCACGAGAAATGATGATCATTTCACGTGTCAACTGGTAAACCCGGCGGCAAAACCATCGAAAATTCAGGTGTTATGGTGTTTCTAAGACTTCTGTTCTCGATACGACCTGCATGTTCAACGTCTCGCGGCTCTAGTCAGGGCTCTCTATTTACCATACCAGGCCGGAACCGTGTTGGTTTCGTCAAAATCTTGGCTTTCCAGGCTGGTCAAGATTACCAATATCGGCCTAGGCGCAAGCTTGGCAGGGGATCCTCGGAGCCTGAAATGCCTTGAAAGTTTACGCACTCGGCTCTTTAACAGTAAGGATGGTGGCTTTTTCAAGTTGTTCGATTACCTACGATTGCGAGAACTCATTGTTTCTAAGGGTCGTCATTTTCGAGCATGCTTGTGTTAGACATCCGTCCTTTTGGGCTTGCATTTTAGGTACTTGAGCGTTCGAGCAACAGCATTGTACTTCACACAGTCGGATAACCCTTCTTGATACATGTGCTCAGGTTTGACATTCACAGTTCCAGTGTATGGATGACATCATGTAAGAACTTCCTCCGTGAATGATCCCTATTGTTCTTTCGTTCTTCCATTCTTCACACACATATGGCGGCGTTCTTTTTTTGTGAAAGAAGCAGTAATGTCACATTTTCCTGCCCGTTTTCGTGGTGATTATGGAGTGATGAGGTGGAAGGGTTTGCTGGAGGCAGTCGCGACGCCGATCTGGGATGTATATGTAAGGTGGTGGTGAGCACCGACATTCTTCAGGTTCAACCAGGCTTATGTCCGAACTACGTCCGCGTCCCCTTATCGGAGACATGATCGAAGGAGGGACGGAGAGGGAAGTCGAATGAGAGAATCACCCATGTGGATGCTGGTGCGGACGTCGCTGACGTCGGTTCGAGCAGTTGCTGGGTGTGGTTGTGGATATGCTGGCGGGATGACGTTTGATTGTCCCGCCTGTGCATTTCCCGCACAGCTTCGACTCGGTTGAACGGTTTGTGATAGCAAAATGGGTCTGGGGACCCTTGCTGTTGTTCTCCGAGCCAATCTTGCTGTTGCAAGTGAGGCCGACATGCCATACCAACCAGGTATATAAGTCGGAATTGTCTGGGCTCTGGTCACTGGCAACATTGGGATCTGCGGCCGGCTATGGAGATAGAGGAGAACCTTCCATACAATAATGCAGGAGGGTGGGAGCGTCACGAAGACGCCCACCAATGCTATGATTGCCTCGGCGGAGAATGACATTGGGATCTTTCTTTGGGCTAGAGTAAGAGTGGAAAGGAAAGAAGAAAACAGTAGAGTAGACAGCCCCAATTCTTATCATTCTACAGAGAGGAGCGGAGAGAGAGAGGAAGGAAGGAAGGAGGGAAACAAGAGACATATAGACGACTTATCTTTGGTGCTAATAACAAGGCGGAATTTGGCAACGTCCACTTGGAAGCCAACAAAGGCTCGACTTTACCCACCACCATGTACCCCGCGCTGACAACTACTTTCCCCGTCACTTTGAAATTGCCCATCTCATCGCATGTTGGGCAAGATGCTCGAGGGGCATGATCGATATTCCATGAGCGGCAAAAATCCTGGGCCGCCTGCCCGTGACACGATTGGCCGATTCTGCCAAGTGCATTGTGGCCAGACATACTTACGTAGTAGTACTATCGTTCTGAGCTGTACGTCAAAAGTAGTGGACGGCCACTAAAATGTGGCTGAAAAGCTAGCCATCTTGATCTTAGACAGTTGCAATTAGTGTCTTAGGTCGCCTAAGTGCTACTGGGCTTTTTGGGCTTAAGATTAGAGGGGGTAACTCTAGAAGTAGCATTTTATGTACCCATAAGGCGTGCATCACTTAGTAGCTGATTCAGGCCATTAGTTGGTGGATCAGCCACATCTCTCAACAGGGTCAAATAATTTACTTTTGCCGCACAAGTCCGTACTAACACGAGTATGTTGTTGTCCGCGGCCTGGCTCGGATGTTGTAGCCAATGCCACTTCAGGTCGCAGTGAGACAAGCCTTGCGGTGGCACGCGTTCAATATGCTTGGCATACGGAGTACTCTGTATGTCCAAGCTTTGTTGTAAGGAGTAGCAAGCTTTTAAAACAGGAAACTCTGGTTGGACAACCATGTCACCATTCGTCCCGAGCCATACCAAGTGCAATCTGACGCATAGTGCCACTTAAGGCATCCAGCCTTCCACGTTTGCTACTGAGGATTGACTGCACGTTATAAAGCGGTTGATCAATCTACAATTGCCCAAAGGTCAGGAATCTTCATATATTCTAGATAGCCTGTCCAGCCTCTCGTCCACTTATGATTCCTTTTTCTTCCATCTATTTAACTTTCTCACTAGTCTTCGAGAATCAGCGCCGCTACAATCTGTTCATAGCTGGTCACATCCCTTGATAGCATTAGCGCTTTAAGTCAACACCGGTAAAAGGTTCGCAAATTTCGTGGTTTGAAAACTCTTCCTAAGTCTCCTAGGTAAATGTGGTTTTGCAATCAGGTTGTATTGATTGGGAGTCTCATAAAGAGGCTATTCGAGAATTGTGGATAGCGAGAAACATGTCGTTGAAAGACGTAATGGATTCTATGGGGACAAATAATGGTCTCAAAGCTAGGTAGGGACCCTCCATGCAACGTATCTTAAGGGGAGACTTATGGCTTGAAGCAAATCACAATATGTCCGACAGCTAAAGAAACGGAATTTTAGAAATAATATGCGGGAGAAGGAGTTGAAAGTCGTGGATAATCGTATTGAGAAACGGAGAAGCCAGGGCAAGGAAAGCGCTGTTTTCATTCATGGCTCACTCCTATCTCCTGAAAAGGTGAAATAGGAGACCTCTAGGCCCTTTTATCTGTTTCTGAAGAGGCATCCCCCGAGAGAAATTCTGGAAAGTTTCCGAACGCGTATGAGAAGCCAGTTGTGAAGCTAACATGAGTCAGTGTCTATTCCATCAACTCCAGCGGGCGTGTCAATCCTCACTCCGCCAGCGTGGTCGCCAGAACCGCGGTTGGAAGCAATGTTATTTCAAGACATGCAATGTATGAACTAATCCGGAAGATCACCCTACCAAACATTCCTTTTATAGGCTGATTAGTTTATCTACGGATACAGGGGTAAATAACAGTAGATCAAACCAGACCTCAAGACCCAGAAAAGGCTTGCAATCCAAAGCAGTGGGAACGATCGACGAAAGCTCTGGTAAGGGATCCCTTTACCGCGCCTGGTGAACTCGGCATAAATCATGCAGAAGAGGCTGTCACTTGCATCATCTCCGCAACCGGGCCACACTCTAAGCGACGGTGAGATTACCGATATTCTTCGCTGGCTTACCTTGAATGAACACCATTCAATTCTGCTCACGCTACTCTCCGGCAGATCATCCGACGATAATGCTGGTTTCAGCAGAGATATTCCATAGCGCGATACAACTGAAGGACAGGTTTCTCATGCTAATTGCGCTACAGACTGGAGCTGGTATTAACGCCAACTTCAACACCCCCTATCGGTTCAAGAAGATGATGAGCGCGTCCAATGTGCAGTAGACCAGAGGAAAGTTGATTTAGTCCGACCCTTTCTGGAATATGGGGCCCATGTCAATTCTTTCAGGTCTGATCGGAGCGATGAAATTTTGCAAACTGCCGCAGAGCGCGGAAACCTTGAAATCCTGCAGATGTTGCTCGAGTCGGGCGCCAATGTTAATGCTCCCAGATGTGATGGTTGTGGAAGAACCGCACTCCAGAAAGCCGCTGAACGGGGACATATCCAGATCATCGAGACTTTGGTTGAGTATGGAGCTGACGTCAATGCACCGCCGAGCAGGAAGTATGGGCTTACAGCTCTACAAGCTGCAGCGACTACACACATTGAAGAAACCTTTCCATTGCTGATACATACAAGTGTTGAAGTCAATGCTCCACCCAGAGCTGACGGCGAAAGGACAGCTATCCAGGCCGCAGCAGACTGTTCGTGCCGGGTTCAAAATGCAAAACCACCAGATAAAAGAGATCATGATACGTACCATTGCGACATAACCAAGATCCTCCTCGTGGCGGGGCGGACGTCAATGGTCCTATCAGTCCCAAAAACGGGACAACTGCGCTTCATGAAGCGGTGATATGCGGTCCGTACAGGATGGTTCTGCTACTTTTAGACGCAGGAGCACATTTGGATGCTCTGGATACTAGGGAGGAGACAACCACACCACTAATGTGCGCCGTCGAGTTCGATAGGCCAGAGATGGTCCAAATCATTTTAGACGCAAACGCAGACGTGAATTTGCGAACTTCCAAAACGGAACTTCAATTCGCAGTAGAGAATCAGAACCTTCATATCATACAGAAGCTTTTTCTCGTAGGTGCAGATGCCAACAATAGTGCTGAAAACTCAACCACTCCACTCCAGGAATTCTCAATGCGACACCCGGACTCATTCAGGATCTTTCATCAGCATCTGATCGACGATCACGCGACGTTCAGGTCTCTAGCTTGTGAATTTGTTGGTAGTCCCAGCTTATTGACCTACCCGCCCTGCACTGGAATTCAAGCATTCCAAGTCCGACTGGTGGATACACTTATCGAGGCTGGCGCTGACGTGAATGCTCCCCCGAGTTCAAAAGGCGGCAGGACAGCTCTTCAGGCCAGTGCTGAAAGAGGAGATGTCAGGATGGTAGAGCATTTACTTTCCAAAGGCGCTGATATCGATGCTTCCCCTGCGGAAGTTGCGGGAAGAACGGCCCTGCAGGCGGCGGTAGCAGAAGGAAGTGCCAACTTGGTTAGGCTTCTCCTCGAGAATGGCGCTGATGTCAATGCGGTACCTAGTGAAAAAGGTGGACAAAGTGCTCTAGCAGCTGTCTATGGAACGAAATGATAAGGAAATTTTGCAGATTCTGTTGGAAGCAGTAAGTAGCAGAATTAAGTACTAACTAGCTAACTATACGAGGAGAGCAACCTCCCACCCGTGGTAGTGGTTATCTTACCAACAAAATCATGGCGCAGGAAGAACGAGTCACAGAGCTGGAATGGTCGATAGTCGATGAATAAATGTACGAAAATCAGCACAAATCCACAAAAGTGGGAGGTAACCTATAGGCGAATGTGCTCCCAATCTGGCTTCCTGCCTAGTACAGACAATATCTCCAGCTTGTCTCGGAGGCAGCCATATTTGTCGAACTCCGCAGGGCCGGATTTACAGATACACCAACCATCCTTACCACCCAGGATGATGCTGGGGAGGATTGGTATGGCCAGGTTTCTGTTACTTCATGGATCATTGAGCCTAGTGCCTTGAACTTCCTTTTTTTGGTGCGTTTCTCGCTGCAGTAGTTGTAAGGGACGGTTTGAAATTGCTGGCCCAGAAGGGTGGATGAGAAAAAAAGAGCATGAGCCAAGTCGTTCTCGGATCTCTCTTACAAAGGGTAGGGGTTACAAACCCAGTAAAAATTGGTCGTCATCAGCATCATTCTCAGACTCATCATCATCTTCCTCTCCCAGTCACGAGTTCTGAAAACCTTGAAACCAGTCTACTGCCCCTATGGGGGACATGATTGCCTCGGCGCAGCGTTTCTTACAATGTCTCTAGTTACCCATTGTGATGATTGGTACCTGTGAGAGTTGAAGAAGGCTCTGCAGTTCTGTCATCCGGATCAAACGCTGGAGCTCACGAACTCCGGTAGGGACCCGATTCTTGAAACTTGGCATGGTCGAGGTGGCGAGACAAAGAGCGAAGAGGTCGTTGAGAGCGCTTTGGGTATTTTTGCAGATGGCGAGAAAATCCGGTTTGAGTTGCAGAGCCACATATTGGGCCTCTGGCACACTACCTGCAGCCCCCACAATGATGTATGCCAAAGATTTGGCTTTCTGTGTTTAGGGTCTTGCTCCTCTTTCTCATGTGGATCTAACAAATCGACAATGCATTTGCTGCCGCCAATCACCATCTGGCATGGTAGGAGTTTTTGGTCGCTGTTTTCTGCTATATTGGAATGTCTTAGATATTCGTGACATAGGTAACGTATGGTTGACGGCAAAAGGCGCCAAGCATGGATGTCAGCTGAAGTACTTAGCAGGAAGAGGCCCTCTTAAAATAATGCTAAGGGGGCCATCAAAGTGCGCTTAGATTAAGCCTAACCGTGAGATTACTTAGAGAGTACAAGGATATGCAGCTTAGTTGTCTATGATCTAATAAAATCTTACTATTTATAACATATTTTATTAAAAATATGATTATAGTATGGTGGTCATTTGAAAGAATGACTGTCATTTCTACTAATAGCACTTAGTGCAAATCTTTAGCTACCCCTTCTCCTGGAAAGTAGTACTAGTAGTACTACTTACTAGTACTACAGCCCCGCGCGAAAGTATCGGACCAAAACGCGTTATTTTTGAACACGCGTTTTTTTACACCCTTTTTCAAACAACTCCTATGGCTCAACGCAAGGCTCTGGCGCCTCTTGAAATTAACAGGAGCTATGGCAAGGAGTTATCTCCATACCAACGAGGTCAAATTTCTGCGTACAAAGCTATGGGGTTGACAAATCAAAAGATTAGTCAAAATTTGCAATGCGG